ATGTACTAGGATTAAGTATTAAGTTTGATGACTTTTTTTGTCATTTTACACAATAATAAAACTTACAACTTAATGATTTAAGTATTGGGGTGAACTTAGAGAAGTATGGGATTTAAATAGAAAAAATCAAAATATATTTCATATTTCATATTTCATACAGCCGCTTTGAATAAAAAATATATTTCAAGCGTCAAGCCGTGCGGCTATACCTTTTGAATAAAAATATTTAAATAGTATAGCCGCGCGGTAATACTCTGAAGAAAAAAATATAAAAGAGTACAGCCGACCGGCTAAACTATGCGAATAAAAATATATATTAAATAGTACAGCCGCTCGGCTGAACTCTTGGAACAAAAAATATATTTCATATTTCATAAAGCAGCTTCTTCTTCTTTGGATTGGGATTGGTGTGGGTACCGCTACTAGTAATTTGCCATTGCCGACGACATTGACGCGGTTTCGGAGCCATCCTCCAGCTGATCCTGCTGCTGCTGCTTTGTTCGGTGGTGTTGGAACAACCCTCGCACTCGTCAGACACACTTGCCCCGGCACCACTGGTTTATTCATCTGAATCATCATCATCTCTCTGATATTATTTCAATTTTCAAATTGAACAGTGGTTGGTTAGTTGCTGCTCTCTCTCTCTCTCTCTCTGCTTGAGCCTCAGGCCTTGACTGATTAGGATTTTATTTTGTTGGAGGCGATGACTCCTTAAATAAAATATATAGATATATATGTATTTAAATAGTATAGCCGCTCGGCTATACGCTCGTGCGGCTATACTACTTAAGTTTACAACAGTATAGCCGCGCGGCTATACGCTTTAAATATTGGCTTTTAGGGATGTAAAAAGCAGCCCAATGGCCAGGAATAAAAAATAAAAAATTGAAAGGCAAGCTCTGCCTCAGCATGAATATAAACTTAGTAAGTAACCGAATAAAAAAGGTAAAATATTGAGAAAAGTTGGCATCATAAAAAACATAGGCTAAATTGCATAGAAACGTCCTTGTGGTGTGGATCATATATCAATTGTTAATCATATACAATCTTAACCGTTCAAATTTATTTTTTTTTTTTTTTTTGGGGAGAGGTAAGACAAGTTTGACCAAAAAGAACAAGTGTCAGACTTACACCAGTATATATAATATATGGATACAGAGTCGTTAATCCTAGCTAATTTGAGCTTGCAGCAGTAACTGACTACAAGATCACAAATTGTACCGTTGAAGGAGCAAGTTGCTGCTTTAGCATGATCTCTTGCGGCTTCTTCATCCTTGACCTCTTTAATATTGTTTTCTGAGAATTTTATCATCTACAGCTGCTATTCACAAATGAGAAAGATACTTACTAGAACGCATGCACCACCAAAGGCAGCCATATGATATGAGCTATAAGCCTGTAACATCAACAAAATAAAGTTTGCTCACCAAGCTAGCATATCCCTCCCAACTTGTGCCTCATAGTCATTTGGGTAGGTCACGTGATGATTGAGATAAAAATAAAAGTTAGCATAATCGTCTCATGAAAATTCTTCTCCGCTGTACCATCCCAATTCCCAAGTTGTTCTCAATCACTTCATATGCTTCCTCCATTTTACTTAAAAAAAATTTAAACAAAAAATCACAATACTCAATCCATCCACCAAGAATCCTAGTATTCTAAAAATACACCTAAGCCATAATATTATCCTTTGGGACATTTCCACGCCAGGATAAACTTGCAATTAAAAATTATTCCGAAAGAGAATGAATGAATGACTTTGCAGTCCAAAGCAACGGGCCACTGTTTTTGCTTCACCGAAAGCCCGGCTGTGGGCTGTGGATGGCAACGTCACAACATAGGGGCTCTCCACTTGTCTTAAAATAAATATGAATGGGAAGGAAGAAAATGGCAGTCCAAACAGTGACTTTTGATGGAAAAACATAAGTCTATATTGGCCAATAGCGATAACTTCTTCCTTTTGGCAAGTTTTTGAAGGAAAAAAAAAACCTATATGGCCCACCATATGTGTTTCTTGAAGGCTTTTCTGTTATTTTAAACCAATGAATGGCATTTGCTTGTAGATCATAAACGTATAGGCTATAATTTTGATTGTTTGCTTCTTTCTTTTTTGCCTTCCCATTAAAAAATTCTTTGTTCCGCCTTTGAGTCAAATTTTTTTATATATTAGGTAAGGGATGAAGCTTCTTGGTTCAAATATTTCATAGGCTTCCGTTGAATTTTTAATCATTTTAGTTATTTTCATCAACTACTAGCGTTGTACTATTCACAGTCAACGGTCTTGGTGTTGTGATCATGTCTTTATAAATATGATCGCCTCATGCTTGTTCATTCTCATCTTTGGGTGGATAAGGTGTTGATCCTACAGTACTACTCCACGTAGGAAGATTTCAACTCTTCTTTTTCCATTGTTTATCTTTCAGATTATTGGCTCAGTCTTTTTATATCCTCATCACCTGCATGCACAGTTCATCCTTTGTATTGTTGCAATGGGATCTGATTTCTGTTTTCTTGGTGTTGGAAGCTTTCAGTTTCAGAAATGGCGCAATTTGGTGGAAATCCCTTCTTCAGTTGCAGAAATTGCCAAAATCCTCTTGCGCTGCGTGATGATCTTATATCCAAAAAGTTTGTGGTGAGCAATTAACTAAAAACTCTATGCTATTATTATTTATCCCAAAACTTATGGCATGATATTTGATCTATATTTTTTCTTTACCCTCCTATGTCACTATGGTCAAATCCGTTACTTGGCCCCGGCTCCTGAAGAGGAGCTTCCTGAACCGGAATCCCGGGCCGGGAGAGGCCATGCTTGATCCAACAATTTAATCACAAATGTATGCTTATATTAATGACTTAATGTGTGCAATTATATATCCAACAATCAAATGTTTTGTGTTATTTAGACAAAATCAGGGGCAGGATATATGTTCTCTCATGCAATGAACATCATTGTGGGACAAAAGGAGGACAGGAAGTTGATAACTGGCGTTTTCTCTATAGCTGACATATTTTGCAGCAACTGTGGGGAGGTCTTGGGTTGGAAGTACGTTCGAGCTTATGATATATCTCAGAAGTACAAGGAAGGCAAATTTATAATTGAGAGAGCAAAGATTGCCAAAGAGTACTAATAGTAATTCCCCCCCAATTACAATTTACAAGGCACTTTGCTGCTCATAATAATTCCATTTGGAAACTCTTTGTTCACTTGCTTGCTTGTTTGTTGAGAAATGTAGATTCTCATCCTTTTTATATTTATAATTTGGGACAAATTTGGACTTGGAGGCGCAAGCATTGTTTGTTGGGTAGTTTTTCCACCCACAAGTTGCTGGCATGCTAGCTTCAAAGTGCGTGGAGGTGTTTAAAACAGAGATCAAACTATGCAAATCTCTTACGAGTACATTCATATAATTTCAAATACTCATGCAGCATGTTAATCAAGAACAACATAAAGCCAGCAGCAAGAAGAGGTTAATTTTTCGGCTCAACGCGAAAAACAAGAACGTAGCAAAGTATGCTGCCATCAATAAATAAAATTCCTCCTTAAGGATTACTAGAACACAATACAAAGATGATCTCAAGATTGTGAAAGAATTCTATTCTATTGTTCTTGGAAGTTGGAAAGAAGACAACTGATCAAACAAAAATACAAGTAAACGTGAACTGTCATCAAGTTTAAATCTTCTGTAACTGATGTTTTACATCATTAACTAACAATAATCACACATTTGAGGATGTTTTACTCACTAGCTGTGTGATCCACTATCCCCATGCACCAGATGCCGCCGAATATCAAACTGGTCAACAGACTCCAAAGGAGTGGCCGTCTCATTTCTGATCCTCTTGATCTTAGGGCTTAACAATCCCCTGTGCCTAAACCCATACAGCTTAAGCACCTGGTTATCTGCAAAGTTGAAAGCCCTCTCCATGCTGCCCAAGCACCTCTCAACAGGGTAATCCCCGTAACTTCCACACGGCTTGCAACCCACAAAATGGGTCACAAATGGCCACCTCTCGTCACCCAAGCCCGGATGATACTTTTCTATCATCTCTTCATACCGATCCACCAATCCAGCCCAGTAACCATGCAAATAGTAGGAATTCTCAACATACACCTTATCCATCCATTGATCCTTCTGTGAAAGCAACAAGTATATCAATGCTGACTGATCATCGGCCTCAAACGCTGGCCTCCCCTTCAAATTGGCAGTCAAAATCTTCCCAGCCTCCTCTCTTATCGGACCCTTGGGGCCCATTGGAGCCCAAGCATCAAGCAAATCCAAAGACCACTGGCAATTCCTAAACAAAAAACTACCGGTATTCAACGCAATCCACGACTTCTGCTCAAACAACAAATCCGGGTACCCATGAATCACAAGATTATGACTATTATACTTGGAGAGTGGAAGCTCGAACACCATATCAGTAAACAATGCATCACTGTCCATCCACCAAATCCACTCAACCTCAGGATGCGAAAGCATCAGTCTTCGAATCAAAGGCAATTTGGCCCAATAGCCAGCAAGTTCCTTATCTAGATGAGCTAAATTATACACAATCTCAATGCCATGAAGTCTACAATAATCAATCTTGTTCTTAATTACTTTCAACAAATAATGGTCCCCAATTGGGTTATCACACGGCTTAGGAGGAGACCCAGTTACGAGCAAAACGCGAGGCTTACCGTTAACCAAGCTCGGGAACTCAGGGTTGGATTGAAGCCAAGCCTTCCGCTCTTTGTCCCAATTCGCGATCTTGGGTCCCAGAGTGTATGTGATGTTGGGGTTGATCTCGGTCTGAGTCAGCTCATCCGGGTCGTTGGGGTCAGAGTCCGATCGGATCTCGGCGAGGATCCGATTGGTCTCCTCGATGATGTTCTGGTTGATGGCGTCGGCCTCGGAGTTACCCAGGTTGCCGACCCCGATTGTGCCTCGGAGGACGAGGATGGTGACAAAGCCGCAAAGGATGGTGATTTTGATGTTGTTGAAGGTCTTCTGGATCTGGCGGCCACGTGGCAGAGACCCATAAGCACGACCTGCTCTGCCATTGGCCGAGGTTCCGGTGGTGCTAGTGGGCAACCCACCAGCACCTCTCTTCTGAGCTGTAAAACTACTGTCTTGACCCATCTCTCTCTTTCTCTAAAAAACCTGCTCAAACTGTATATGTATGTAATATATGCTGTTGGCTTGTGTAAATTTGAGTGTGTTTTGGGTTTTTGGGTGGTATTGTAATTTGTATAAAAAAAGGCTAGAAGAAGCCTGGAAGACGCTGTAAAACCCTAAAGGGGGGTGATGGGGAAGAAGAGGACATGGTGGGAGTGTTTGGTTATGGCGAGGTGGCAACTGCTGGCGAGGTTGGTTCGAGGTCCGTCTGATTGTTTGAGAGATGATTAGAAATTGGGGAAATGTAGAGACATGTGTCCAACACCGACTGTCGTGGGGCATTCTGTCTTTATATTTTATTGTCTGATCTGGATTTGGACTATTTTTTTAAATTATTATTTTTGGCCCAAATCCCATTGGGTCTCGTTGAAAATGAATATGGAGCCCGGATTTACTGGACCTCTGACCTATGGTGATCCTGTGTTTCATCTCCCATGAGAGAGAATTGTGGGGCATGCCTTCATCACCGTACATTGTGCTGACCGGTGGAATCAGGTCAATGTAATAATGGTATTTGATGAGGTATCTTGCAAAATTGTGTGATATCTCCAAATAAATGATTAATAATGTTATGTTTGCTTCGCGAAATAAACTTCAGGTTAATGAAACTGTCATGTCTAATCTCTGAAAATGAGAATAAAAGATGTTCATTCCCGTATTTTAAAACACTGAAAAATAAAGTCTAAGAAATGCCACTATCTCATTTCCATTTTTAGTGAAACCTCAAAGAAAATACTTTAGTCATGTCTCATTTGACTTCAATAGCTTGACACTTCGATGAAGAGACACACATTTCTAATTTACTCATTTAAGATGAGAAAACAATGGATATCTTTTTTATTTCCTTTCCAACCATAGCTATAATCTCCAACCTTTTAATTATTTCAGAGTCAATGGGAGCCTCCTAAGCTCAGCAGCTGTCTCCGGCCTGTTCTGCACCTCCGCCTCCACGGCTGGAATTTGACGCGTGGTACTAAACCACCAAGAAACGCGTTTCAGCTTCGAAACGCCGACTTGTACTTTCCATGAAGAATGTTCACTCCCACGCCACTTTGAAGCGCGTGCAAAACAACCCCCTCCCCAATTACACGTCGTCTGACTAACCCAACCGGACATGTGAGTTTGGAGCTAGATTGGGGATCGAGGGCCCCACAAGATCCCATCTCAGTTGCTATGTCAGTCTCCAGTGTTTTGGTGCTCATGGTCCGTGTGCCGTTTTTCACCCCCCTGTCTCTCTCTAGCCGATAGCTGGAGCAAAGCAAGCCTTTTTTTTTTTGCTGCAGTTGCTTGCTTGCCCTTTTCATTTTTTCATTTTTCAATATTTTTATTAGCAGGGTTTTATTTCCATTTTTAATTTGATTTTTTTTGGTAATGTATAAATTAGCAGGCCTCATTAATCTAATAAGATGCAATTACTTGCGGTGATGATGCTCAATTAGACGCAAAGAAGACAACTGTGACAAACAATTTAATAAAATTTGGTACAATATTAGACAATTTACCTTCCTAACTTTCTGGATCACAAGGATTATTAAATTAATCAACCAACTGGTAGACTAAAATGTGATGAATTTACCAATAGTTTACAACATGGCTAAAATTTCAGAAAAGTGAAAGAAAACACAGTTACAAAAAACATATAAAATGTGATCATTTGATACAATTTTCCCTAAGCTCTCATTACAAGTTTACCAACCACTTCAGATTCAAAGCCAGCTCAACCACTATCAACCATGCAAAACACTCAAAATTCAATTCATTTGGTCAAATGAGTAACCATTCAAACAGAACAGGTATACAAAATTGTATTTCCATTACCAATGTCATCTTGCTTCAGATATTATTCAAGAGTTCAGCATTTTCAACCAACGTATACGGATACAGAACCGAAGGGATGCTAAAGAAAGAAAACGGTACAAGTTATAGGCATACCGATTAAGTTGCAGCAGATTTCTTATTTTCCTTCTTTATCTTCTTAATTTTCTTCTTCACCTCCCTCTTGGTCATCTTCTTCTTCACCTTCCTCTTTTTTTTTTGGTCGAAGGAAAAGATATTCCATTAACTTAGCAAATTACAAACAGGCCCTTCCTCTCTGTCAACTTCTTCTTGGTCTTCTTTGTCTTGCCCATCTTCTTTTTAACTTTCTCTTGATCCTTTGCTTTGGCGCAGTCTATAAGGCTGAGCTTTTCCTCATTCCTTGTTGGCTTGAAAACCTCAGTGATTGAGGGGTCCAACAACTCACTTGAGCAGCGAAGAGTTACACCCATAGCCATGGCTTCATCCCAAAGTTCTCTACCCTTTTCAAAGTCCCCTCCCCTACAAAACTTGGGAATCAGCACATCATAAACAGGTCCATAACCACCCAATGAGCTTGCCTTCATCCTTTCAAATAGCTCAAGAGCATAATATGGCCTCTCATTTCCAACGAGTATACCAATCAAATCATAGTAGAACTTGCAATTCGGTTGCAGGCCCTCTGCAAGCATCTCATCCACCATCTTATTTCCTTTACCAAATCTTCCGGACAAATACAACACTCTTGCAACAAGATAATAGCTGACCCAATCCGGAGAACAACCTGTTTTCTTCATAGTCTCAAGAATGTTACAAGATTCCTTGACTCTTCTTGTTCTTCCCAAGCAAGACAGCAATATATTGTAACTAATGGAATTTGGAAAAATTCTATATGTCCTCATCTCAATCATCACATTTAAAGCTTCGGGAACAAGTCCAGAAGGATTGCATTTAAGGTTTTTCATACAAAGGCCCCTAAGGAATGTGTTAAAGCAAAACAAGTCCGGCATGATCCCAGCTGACTTCATTTCTTTGATTATTCTTCTTGCTTCCTTGACATTCTCCTGCACAGACCATCCATATAAAAGACTCTTATAAATGCAAGGCTCTATACCAGCAATCTTATCCCTATGGTGCCAAACAACCCCTTCTGCTCTCTTAGCATGCCCTCTAGAACAAAGCGCATTGACAATGCCGGTGACTGTATGACCATCTTGAGGACACTTGTATGTGCTCAAATTCTTAAACAGACCCAATGCCTCATCTTCCCTCCCCAGCTTGACCAAAGCCTCAGCAACAAGACCAAAAGTCTGAGCTTCCATTGCCCTTCCAGTCTTCACAAGGTCAGAAAGTAAAATGTGCATTGCCGTGTGGTCCTTCTTCTCTGCAAAAACCCGAATGCCATAGTTATAATCCTTGTCTTTCAAACCATAATCCAAATTCTTATGACACCACGAGAAGAACCTGAGCAACCTTCTAGTGGGTGCTTCGCTTTTGCAAGAATCAATGACTTGGGTCACAAGTGACGATGTCAAGGAACCTGTAAATTTATTTAGACTCAATTCCAAATCATCTAAACCGCCAATTGCTCTCGAAACAATAGTACACAGCTCTTGTAGCTCGGGCGACGGAGGCAACATTGTAGAATAGTAAAAACACAAAAAGTGTTGAGATTTCTGAGTGCTGACTGCATTGTACAGCAAACACCTCCGCCATTTTGATATCAATACAGAACGCATGTTCAATGAGGATATTCGTCAAACAGTTAGACTGCATTAAATAAAAAGCTTGACCCCAACATAGCCTGCCAGCCTACTGCAAAATGAGAATACTTACCAACGTTTTATGACCTCTAATTTGTAATAGCCGTTAAACGACACGTCAATACGTGTCCCTTGCATGTAAGTCAAGGAAACCAACAAGGGCATAATGAGACACTCGCAATCTGCCAGGCCTGCAATCCTCAAATTCCATTACTGTGCCTGAGATGGTTAAGTTGGCAACCCCGAAGTTCTCTGATTGATCACCGATTCAACCCTCTAATGCCGAATTCGAAGTTTTAGAATAAAAAAGTTGATAACTTTACGCTTTAATCTGATCAAGGACAATTGGGTAGCTGGTGGAATTGAGATCGAGAAGGATGAGTGAGGTATTTGAGGGGTACGAGCGCCAATACTGCGAGCTCTCCGTCAATCTATCAAAGAAGTGCACGGCTGCTACCGCTGTTGATGGAGGTAATAAATCTCTGAAAAAAGAAATGCATTTGCCTTTTCTTTTCGTTTTTTCTTTTCTTTTTGTGGGTTATTGGGTTTGGCAAACTCAACATAAAAAAATGCATTTGGGTTTTTTATCCCAAAAAGAAAAGAGTTGTATTTGGGGTTTATTTTTATTTTTATTTTTATTTTTCATTTCGTATTGGTGGCATGCATCATGAATTTGGATGTTTTATTTTTCTTGTTTAGATTAAAATTTTGTATATGCACTTGTGAGAGACTTTAGTATGTGCATAAAAGATGGTGTTCTGTGAATTCTTGCTTTGCAGAGGGAAAAAAACAGAGAATTGCAGAGGTAAAAGCTGGATTAGATGATGCTGATGCTTTGGTATGTCACAACTCCAGTTAATTTTCATTGCTTAGATGTGTGTTTTTGTTTATGTTATTAGATTAATAAATCATGCCATGTTGGAAAAACTATCCAGCTTAGGAAAATGGACCTTGAGGCAAGGAGTTTGCAGCCAAGTGTGAAGGCAGCGCTTCTTGCCAAGTTAAGAGAATATAAGACTGATTTCAACAATCTTAAAAGCCAAGTTAAGAGAATCACATCACCTGTTGCTAATCATGCAGCCCGGGACGAGTTGCTGGAGCCCGGAATGGCAGAAACCTTGACGGTATTTTCTCCATACCTCTGTGTTTGTGTGCGTGTGTATGTGCTCATGTGTGCATTGCTGCTTGATGTATGTTTGCTCGTCATAATTTTCTTGTTCATGGCATGGGACGTTTGATTATGCAACAGACATCGAACGATCAAAGAGGGAGATTATTGATGACAACTGAAAGATTAAATCAGTCGACGGACAGGGTCAAGGAGAGTAGAAGAACAATGCTAGAAACAGAAGAGCTTGGGGTCTCAATCCTCCAAGATTTACATCAACAACGCCAGTCTCTTCTACATGCCCATAATACAGTATGTGTGCTATGCCTACTAGCCTTAGTTACTCTGGCTTTATGTGTGACATTGCCACAGAAAGCATAGGCTTGTTTGTTGCTTGCTTCTGTGCCTAAATTAGTCTGATGAGGATATGAGATGGTTGAGGTGGTAAACCTGATTTTGTTTCTTCCTTTTTGACAGATCCATGGGGTGGATGGAAACATTGGCAAGAGCAAAAGGGTCCTGACAGAAATGACAAGCAGGATGAATAGGAACAAATGGATTGTTGGCTCCATAATCGGAGTCCTTGCCCTTGCCATCATGATTATCCTATATCTTAAGCTTACCCACTAGCCTATACTGCTGCTGCACTGCCTGGAATAATTTTACTGATTTGACACTTCATCAAACTCTCCGTGTTCTTTATGTTGTTGGATATTGTTTCTAGCTTCTCTTTTTCTTCTCTCCAAGATATTGGCTAATTCCAGCGAGGGGCAAACAGAGTTGTGTTTTTGTTCTATCTTACAAAATTGTTGTTGGAATGAAGGAAAGCAAACCATGGACTCTTACGAGACGAAAGCATGGCTGAAAAATAGGACAGAGAGTAGAACGTTTATCAGGGTGAGCACCTAAATTCATCATCTGAAAACCCCTTTTGAAGTCCTATTGAGATGAAAAATGAAATGTGTCCCCTTCTTTGTTCAGTAAACCACAACTTCTACATCAAAGAAAGGAAATAAGCTTACTATGCAGGTTCTTCATATACTGAACACAAGGCTAAGGAAAAAGATACTTGCATTATGATATTTAAATGACTACAGAATTCCATACTAACAAAGGGGGGGGGGGGGGGGGGGGGGGGAAAACAAAAA